ACCATCCGAACACAATAGGTCACCATACTGTGTGTTCCTGTTCTCTGCCCTTTACTTGTAATGTTTCCACACCTGAAGCTCTTATCCCTTCCTTGTCACCACTCATATATTAAGTAATGCAACAAATATTAATTGAGGGCCTACTCCGTGCTGGCCCAAGGGATATAGAGGTGAGGAAAATCCAATGCACTCTCTCCCTTCGTGGAACAGTGTCCTGTTCCAGGAGGAACCACGGGGAAATGGTTGCAAACTGTATAACCACACAAACAGAAGTAAAACTGCAGCTGTGATTCCAGCTCAAGGGTGGATCCACACAGCCCCCAGAAATTATAATGGAGGATCCAGCACTCAGGTTGCCTCCAAGGCCAAGCTCAAAGTCTGCCTTCTCCAGGAAGCCTTTTCTAACAATGCTACTCCAGAGACCTGCACCCCTGCCCCACCCCAAACTTCAGTTAACTTATCTAACTCATTTAATCATACCCAGTCAGGCCTTGTTATTTTGTTTTCAAATTGCACCTGCTTTTCCCAATCTCACTCTAAGTGTCTTCTGGGCAAGGAATGACTGCTACTCTTAAGTCCCACAGATTTAAGCCACGGAAGGCTGGACCCACTGTGTTCCAGGCCCATGTGTCAGGGGCTGTCATAGGAAGGAAGGGTACCCTTCCTAAAAGTGAGCTCCAGAGGAGCCGGGAAGCTACTAAAGACCTTATTCGTGACTGAGCCCACCAGCTCTGTTCTTCAGAGGAGAAGCACTCCCTTCCCTAGGACAGCCAGGCTGCTGCCTAGTATGATCTTTCTCCAATAAAAGTTCGATCCTCTCTCTCTCCCCAGCTTAAAATCTTTTAGCAGTGAGGCGCCTGGGTGGCTCAGTCAGTTGAGCATCTGACTTTAGCTCAGGTCACAATCTCACGGTTCCTGAGTTTGAGCCCTGCATTGGGCTCACTACTGTCAGTACAGAGGCTGCTTCGGAGCCTCTGTCCCCTCTCTCTCTGCCCCTGCCCCTTCTCTCAAAAATGAATAAACATTAAAAAAAATCTTTCAGCAGCTTCCTAAAGTCTTCAGGATAAAGCCCAACCCCCTCAGTATGGCATCCATGTCCCTTCCTGTTTCTACCTCCTGACTGCCTCTCCAGTCGCAACCTCCAAAATGCTCATAGCATTCTTGCTGCAGTGCCTCAGAAGCATCCCGGTCTCAGGCAGCTGGACTCCCTCTGCCCCTGCCCTTCCCGTTTATCTGTGTCTCCTTTGAAAACTCAGCTCAGTGGTCTTTTGGGTCCAGAACCCCTTTCCCCAGGTTAAGGGTCCCTCCAGGCTCCTGCTACATCTGGTGTTCCCACTGTCTTACACTGAGCCACAACTGTCAGTCTGTAATAGCTGCCAACTTGTAGAGTGAACCCAGGAGAGGGACTGTGTTGTTCTATCCCTGACTCTCTAGTTCCTGCCATGGAACTCACAGGTGGTGAGCGCTCTGCGGTGTTGAATAAAGGAACCACAACCTGGCTCAGGCTCTCCTAGGCCCATTAGAAGAAACGGATCTCTGGTAGGCTGGGAGCACAGCAAGGGCCTCGATCTGTGACGGACATCATGAGAAAATTGGTTATCACAGGACATGCTGACTTCCCGGGAAGGGAAATCATTTATTAGGTATTGACTGTCTTAGACGCTTTAGTGTTTTCTCAGCATTGTCTCATTTTATAGGTAAGGACACTGAGACTCAGGGAGGTTGTAAGTGACTTACCTAAAGTCACTCATTAGGCAGAAGTAGCACCAGGATTTAGAGCCCAGGGAGTCTGAAGCCTGTTCTCTTAATCACTATATTCTATGGTCTCCAGTAATAACTGTGAAGGGATAACGGGGGTATTCACAGTAGGAGTAAATTCCAGAATTTGTGGCATTTCATAGGCACATTCTTCGGCCACCCTTTGGGCCCTGCTGCACCCCGCTGCCTTTGTATAATGCTTCTGCCCGAATGGGGAGGATAGGAAGAGCCAGCACAGCTAGATGGGAGAAGCCTGCTATTTTAATCTGATGAGGCACTCAGGGAGCCGGGAATGTTTACCTTGGAAAAAAGAATTTTAGGGAACCAGGCATTAATTGGAGAATATGTAACAAAATTATCTAGAGGGACACAGGATTGCATGCTTCCACATAATTTCATACGGCAGAACTTGGCCAAGTTTCCACCAATGAGAGTTGTCTGAAAGTGGAAGGCTCTCTGTTACGGGGCAGTGGAGAGGAACAAATAGGAGACCTCTTGGAAGCCCAAGAAATGACCCACAGACCCAATTTAGGACACTCCACCCTGCACTGCTCTTAGTGATCATTCTGTTCCAATGTGACTAAAAAAATCACGTGGCAATATTCAGTTTTAAGTGGTCATTTTTAAAAAGTATCACATGCACTCAATTTCCTTTTTTTATTAAAAATTTTTTTTAATGTTTATTTTTGAGAGAGAGTGAGAGAGAGCGTGCGGGCGAGCCGGGTAGGGGCAGAGAGCAACGGAGACACAGAATCCGAAGCAGGCTCTAGGCTCTAAGCTGTCAGCACGGAGCCCGACGCGGGGCTGGAACTCACAAACCACGAGATCATGACCTGAGCTGAAGTCAGACGCTTGACCAACTGAGCCACCCAGGCGCCCCTCAATTTCTTTTCAAAAACGTAACATTTAAATTTTATTATGGAGAAATAATGGACCCTACAAAATCTAAGTCAGGACTCTAACTAAAGATCCTGAGAGAGAGGAAATAAATGCATTTCAGGTGCTCTCAAATTCTGAAATTCTCAGAGGTGCTGGATTCCAGAACTTTGGACTGGTATTTGCATTCTGAGCGTGGACAATCCCACTGCCTGTCTACCTCCCAGGAAAGCTCTCCACCGAACAAAATCTGCTCAGTTTGCAGTAAAATATAAGGCAGTGTCTTTCTTAAGCTCTGAACTATAAGAATGGCAGGGTCCACAGTGGACCCTATAATCACTCTTCCTTGGTCATGTTTTATTAGCTTTCGTTCAACCTCTGCATATCTGTGAGAAAAAATACAGGATTGGGAATTAGAATACTAGATTTGGGTTCTGTTTCTGCCACTAGGTCTCACTGTGATGTGATATACATACACACACACACACACGCACACACACACATATATATATTTTTTTGGCAAGCCCAATTTTCTTAAAGTCCCCTTCCCTACCTACTTTACAAGATCACATGAGTTAAAATAGGTGAAACACTTAGACGTTAAGTCCATCTAACACATGTAAGGCTTCGTTATTATTATCTTTGACCTCCTCCTCTGGCCTGCAGCTGCGTACAAGACATCATATTGACAGCAGTCTTGGTCCTGGAGAGATGAGTGTGGGTGACAACTCTCGGTCTGAGCGGGTGTCTTTCCCTTCTAAAGTCAGATATAAATGAGGAGATTATCTGTTGTTTTGGATCATATTCACTTCTGCTCTTGCCACTGAGAAAAATGAAGAACTGACAATATTTATCTCTCTTTTGTCTGGTTTCCCTGAGTCAGATGGGAAGTGTTTCTTCCCACTTCATCCCTCTTTCCATGTTGAAGAGTTTCCCAAAGGCAAAGGTCATTTTTTTTTTTTTTTTTTTTTTTGGTCATGGAACCCTCTGATGATAAGAACCCTTCCCCTTCCCCTACAACCCACAATCCAACCTGCACGGGTGATCTCTAGAAATGGGAACCCTATCTTTGGGCGTTGGCCTCAAGGTTCAGGTGCAATTACTCAATCACAGGGGTGAGACCCAAGGGATTGAAGCATTCAGTTCAGTCAATGCTAAAAATAGATTAAGATGTTACAACTACTTTCTTTCTTTCTTTTTTTTAATGTTTATTTATTTCTGAGACAGAGAGAGAGCATGAGCGGGGGAGGGGCAGAGAGAGGGAGACACAGAATCGGAAGCAGGCTCCAGGCTCCGAGCTCGAGCTTTCAGCACAGAGCCGGACACGAGGCTCGAACTCAGTCGCTCAACCGACTGAGCCACCCAGGCGTCCCCAAATTTTACAACTACTTTCTAATAACTGTATCAGACAATGGGACTTTTGCAGTGGTAAAGAATTCAGAGGGCCTAAGGGCAGACAGATCCAAATCTGTATACTGATTTTGCCACTTATTTGCTATGGGATTGTTTACCATTTACCAACCAATCTGGGCTACATTTCTTCCTCTGTGCCAAAGGGAGATAATAATACAATGCACATTCTAGGCTTGATGACAGGATTACATGAGATGTACGAAAAGCCTTAAATACAGACTCTGGCATGTAAAGGCTCATTAGAGAGTAGAGGTGGAGAATGAAAGGGCTACAGTGTAAGCTTCGTGGAGACCAGTACCTGGAGGCCAAGAGGCGGCAAAGCTTGACGGAGCAGTCAGGTTTCCTGACTCAGGATCAGTGTTCCGCATACCACAATCCACCACTTCTCAAGGGGCCTTGAACCACCAACGACCAGGGGACGCCCAGAGTCAAGAGTGAAGAAAGGCAGCCAGGAGCCAACCTGGCTTCTTAAAGCAAAGGCTCTCCAAGAAGGCCTGACGCATTCAGGTTCCCGGTGGGTAGCACCCACAGGGCTCAGTCCTTACTACTTACCCGGGAATGATAACGGTCCTTAACGGCAACCAATAACGGCTCACCTGTGGTCCAGGCACTAGCAAGGGCAAGCTGAGGTCAAACCTTGGATTTTGGCGCCTCATCCCGAAACCCTACGCCTACATCGAACTACAACTCCCAGCATACCACGCGGCCGCCCCGTCGCAGAGTGTCGGCCCAGCCAACCTTGGAGCCTTTCTTTCCTCAAAGCGCGGCTGAACGCCCAGCACTTCCGGATAGTGCTGGCCCCCCACCCAGGACAGCCTCCCTTCATGATTTCTGGGTATTGTAGTCCAGCTTGTTCCGGTTTCTAAGGGAATGAGCTGTTCTCAGTTACGTCTCTTCACCCCAAAAACTACAAAACCCAGAATATACCGCAAGTTCCTCTCGTCCAATAGGAACCCCCCATGTAGTGAGGCGCGGAGGCCGGCTCTCGCAACTCAAGATGGCGGACGAGAGTGAGACAGCAGTGAAGCCGCCGGCACCTCCGCTGCCGCAGATGATGGAAGGGAACGGAAACGGCCATGAGCACTGCAGCGACTGCGAGAACGAGGAGGACAACAGCTACAGCCGGGGGTAACGATATCCTCGGAGTCCAATTCCCGTCCAGTCTCCCACAACCTGGGTCTCTGGGGTGCGGGGAAGTCACCGGGAGCTTAGTGTAACCCCACCCCCATATTCTTATTGGCTGAGACGTTGGGGTCCTGCCTGGCGATTGGTTGCTGTCTTTGTCATTTACCAGGGTGGGTGCTCAGTATATTAAGGGCCGGAGACATTCAGTACTTTTATTATATAAAAGTTCTTCTGTGTAATGTTCCACTCGTGTGCTTCACCTGCATTCAGGGAAAAGAGCATGTTGGACGATGGTTTCAATGCACAACACGGGTCAATGTAACAGAACAGTTCAAAGGAACGTTACTTATAGAGGTGTGTGAACAACGTGATTAGCAATAAACGAATAATAAAACATTTCGCTGCAGTTCACCTTCAATGAGGAAATAAATCAGGCTGTACAAACCATAATTATGTTGTAAAATATCACTACAGGAGAAACTCAAAATACAAACTTACCTTATAAAACCCTACGTGTAATTACTGTATGATAATGTTTTGATGTATTCGGTGCCTGTTGTTCCAAATAATCCATAAGTTTCCTGAACAATATATAATTAGATACTGGATCTTTGCACTGTTAACTTTGTGAAATAGCCTCAGAGCTTCAAGAAATTGAGTGATGTATCTTGGTCGGGGGGCTTGGAAGTGGGTTTAATACTGCATCTCCTGTACTTTACAGTTTTGCCTGCTAGTAACTATTTGTTACTTGGGCAGAAGAAATTCATCAGGCATTTCAATGTTGAGTTCTATTTCCAAATCAGGTTTTGTTCTTATGAGCCACACCCTGTCATCCTTCTTTCTTCATATTGTTACAGTGGCTGGTGCTGAAGTTCACTCTGTCCCTGCCTGTCTACATTTACATGTATGTTTTTTAGTGGAAAGTTATGTGTAATTTTGGGTGAGTCTGTGGTGGTCTGATTTAGTGTGTGTGTGTGTATGTGTGTATGGTAGTCCCATTTTCATAGCCATGATGTCATTTGCAGTATTAGCAGTCGTCCTGTAGGTAGTAGAAGGTTGCAATCTTTGGATAAACTTAAAAAAAAAAAAAACTATTGCCTTGTAGAGATGGAAGAACAAAGGATTATTTAGGTAGTTTACAGTTTGCTTGTGATGAATCCTGGGGTTAAAAAGATCTAGCTTTTATGTTTTTTGACCAGGATTAAAAATCACAAGAAGAATGTAGAAAAAAAGAAAGTTTGTTAGATCTGGTTTTATAAGAGTGTGTTCTTTTGCTATAACTCACAACAGATAATAATGTAACAAAAGCCTTGAAACTTGAGATTCCTAAAAAAGAAAGCTTTTAAAGAGGAAATAGGAACAGGAAGGAGGGAAAGTGCAGCCCTCGTGAGTAGAAATCCTAATCATAGATGAGAGTTCTTGAATTCAAAAGTCATTTCAGAAGGGAAAGTATGGCTTTTTCTTTGCTGTGTGTGTAGTCGCTTTTATTTTTCTCTGCTAAACTGTTGCCCTGACCAACATCTCTAGCTCTCTAATTGGTTTAGTTCTATGATCTGTGAATCACTTTGCAAAACTGTTTGACAGAAAGTTCTGTTTTATTTATAGTACAACAAAGAGGTAACCTTAAAAAGGAACTTTGACGGTGTTTTGTTGTTATTGTTGTTGCACGTGCATATATGGTCTGGGTGAACAAATTTATTAGCATCCCAAATCTAGAGGTTTGTGTAAATGAGTTTGGAGGTGGCAGGTGAAAAACAGAGGACCTAGCTTGGAGGACAGCCTACTTCTGACACTTGGAATCTAAGGTCAGATCTGAGGTCTTGAATCTGAGGAGTCCATATTTTCTTATTAATTGTCAGAGGAAATGATTTTGGGAAGAAGCAGTGTGGCACAGTGGGAAAAGCATGGATTTTGGGGTTATTCATACCTGGGTTCTAAGCCTGGTTCTGACACTTGACCTGTAACCTTGGGAAAGTTACTTAACCTCCAGTTGTAGGGATTAAATGAGATAACATCCAGAACGCAGCCTTGCCCCTCCCTCGTGTTCTTTCTTCGTATCTTCTCCGTCCTCCTTCCCCCAGCTTGTGCTCTTATCCCATCCCATACCCTGTTGTTGTTGTGTACGTGGTGGTTTTTTTTTTTTTTTTTGTAGCTTTTATTTTTTTTTTAATTTTTTTTTTAATTTTTTTTTTCAACGTTTATTTATTTTTGGGACAGAGAGAGACAGAGCATGAACGGGGGAGGGGCAGAGAGAGAGGGAGACACAGAATCGGAAACAGGCTCCAGGCTCTGAGCCATCAGCCCAGAGCCCGACGCGGGGCTCGAACTCATGGACCGCGAGATCGTGACCTGGCTGAAGTCGGACGCTTAACCGACTGCGCCACCCAGGCGCCCCTTGTAGCTTTTATAACAGCAGTTAAATAACATATGTCTAGTCCCTGCCTCACCTGACTGTAAGGTGCCTGAGTACAGGGACCATATCCTTGAGATGCCTGGCACTTAATGGGCATTAGTGAGTATTTGCTGAATGAACAAATGGCAAATGTTAAAATCATGGCTCAATGTTAGTGGAATTTCTCCTCTCTGAGGGGAAGAGTGTCAGATTTTTCTTACTACACACTTTCTTTCCCCAAATCAATCTCACTGTAAGCCTTAACGACAGTTTTCTGTGAACTGCTTACAGAAATCAGGGATCCTCTCATTTGCCCTGGAAAGTTTCCACTGTTTTGTTTTGTTTTTTGTTTTGGCTTCTTGAAATTTTTCTTGTCTTTACTTAATATCACTTAAAATGCTTTCAAAAGTGATGTAAAAATTGAAGGGGAACACCTTTCGATGCTAATGAGTCTTAAATACAATATGCAATAAAAGTTAATGATAGTTTAATCATTTTCTTAGGCCTTCCTTTTAGAAAGGGCTCACGGTACTTTACAGTAATGAAATAAGCTACGTTCAGGCACTGGAATAATAGGAAATACAGACATGCTAGTATCTTGTGTCCCTTTGTATATAAACTTAGTTCTTCACTTTTCTTATTATGTGTTTTTTCCATAATTTATAAATAAACATTTGATGAGTATTAATTTCACATATGCATTGAAACACAAATGTGTGTTCACATGCCTTCGTGCAAGGTATACGTATATATCTATATGTATCTGCAGTTTTTCTATCAGCTATGTTTTAAAAAATCTACTCGACAAAGGCAGGCAGCATTTCCTCCCCAGTTACTTACCTGACATAAGTTACCCTGAGCAATTGAGAGAAGAGTCAGACTAAAGATAATCTTAATGCTGTATCCCCCCTGCAGTTGACAGTTCATCTGTATGATTTAATTTGCTTGTTTGTTTTTAGTGAAAGGCTTTCCAAGAATTGTTATTAAAGGATAAACCTTATCAGCTAGCATTAGATTTTAGTTTTGGGTTAACAAACAAGTAAAGTTTATTTGGATGAGTGGAACAGGAAAGGACTTTGATATTTTGTTCCTAGGATTCTTTTAGGATTTACTTTGCAGTGTCATTGATACCTCTGAAATGCTGGTAAGTTGTCCCTTTGATAAGGGATGTCTCTTTCCTTGTCCAGCTTTCTTTCTCCATGGGGACAGGTTGAGATGAGTTCTTGTAAGTTTCCCTCACTGGTCCTGAGCTGTTATCCCTTACGAAGAAACTTAAGAGAAAACAGAGGGCTTTTTGCAAGGAAACACCATAAAGCCAGCCTCTCTTGCTTTTGTTTTATTCTTCAGATTCTCCGAGAGTGGTTCTTTCCATATTTATTTGATGGCCTGTAGCTGCATCTAGCTCTTGGAAACAAGAAGTCTTTTAGGTCCCTTTTTCGTAATTTCTCCCTTCAGCTTTTGGTTTTTCAAAACTAGATCAAAGCAGAAATGAAAAGAGAAACCTCATCACTGATATCAAATAAGTGTTCTAATTTTATTTCCCAATTAAGTGGCAATTAAAAAAGAAACTAATCAAGGGCTGCTTCAAAGAGAAGAGACTGGAAAGCAGAAGAAATGAAAAGTAAATGAGAGCCTATTTCAGGGAGACTGCTGCTGGTGGCGGACCAGTTTTGCTGATTTTTCACATTGTTTAACTCATGTGCTCACTCTGAAATTTCCCAGCTTTACCAAATCTGCAGTTAATCCTTCGCCTGCAGACTCCATAGATTTGGGGGCCATAGATGTAATAACTTTAGGAGGACCTCCTTCACTTCTTCTCTGTAACCTTGTCGGAAATCTCTACCCTGCAGGCGCCTCTTCTGATTCCTCAAGGAAGGTGCTGTTGGGATTGTTGCATTTAAGGCAACACAAAACATGATGTTCTCTAGTGAGAGCAGCCGCAATGGCAACAACAAAAAAGAAGCCAACTAATAAAATTCTTCGCCAGGGTCAGTTCTTGGTTGAAAATTTTTTCTGCTGCTGCTGACTTTGAGAGACAGCTGAGGGGGTTTCACTGCTGCTAAGTGTTTGATAAATGTTATCTGTGGACGCTGGTCACTGCACTAAGCCCTCTCCATGGATTATGTCATAACAGACTTTACTTACAAACACTGATTTAGCTTTTGTAGTGGCGCTTGAGATTTGCTTCTCTGCTTCCTTTGACACCCCTGGAGGATCCATTCTGAACTTGCTGGATTTCTTTCCCCCACCGCCTTGGTTTCTGCGTCCTGACTCTGCGGCAGTGTGAGTCCTGTCTTTGGGTCCATTCAGCAACCCGTGGACTTTCCCAGGCTAAGGATCCTGTTGGTGATGGAGATGGCCGGCCCCTTTAAACTCTTCTTAATGGATGAGTATCTCTTGCAGAGGCCATTCTAGTGGGTGAAGTTTCTGCCAGCATTGAGTCATTGCTCAGAAAATTACTGAAAGTGGGGCGCCTGGGTGGCTCAGTCGGTTAAGCGTCCGACTTCGGCTCAGGTCATGATCTCATGGTCTGTGAGTTCAAGCCCCGCGTCGGGCTCTGTGCTGACAGCTGGAGCCTGGAGCCTGTTTCAGATTCTGTGTCTCCCTCTCT